TCCATCCAATCATTCCACGCTCCTCCTGTCGCTCGCTTCTTTGCTTTGTGGTGCTACTAATTTTCGCCTTAGAAACTTTTCACAAAACTGTCAGTGCGCATTTTTTGCATTGTAAAAAGTTTGCTGCCAACTTTTTTCCGCTATTTATTTCACTTCGTTTCGAGTTGTGTTCTCTTTTTCGGTTGGTCTTTTGATTTTTGCTCGACAAATTGAATTCTTAGCAGCGTTGTAAGACGTCGCTGCGGGTTGTTTGTGTGTGTATGTTTCTTGGCGGTTGTAATCTGACAATTAGAACTGGAAGTTGTTGGTTTCTTTTTCTATTTTTCTATTTTTCTATCTTTTTTTGGCTAACTGTTGGCATTGCGGCGATGCGTCATTGGCTTTTTTGTTTGGTCGCAAAAGTTTGACGTAAATCATCATGCTTGTCCAGTCAAAGAAAAAAAAACAAAAACAAAAATTCCAAAAAAAAAAACAAAAGAAATTAAAATAAAATTTTATTGGTGAGAGTTGAGTAACTCCAAATGCGCTTAAACTTTTTAGAATTTTTTGATTGGAATTATCTAAGCGAATTATTTAAATACTTCTGAAAGTCCATTTGCATTTGGCAGCTAATTCTTTTACACTTCATTTGTAATTTTACTTAAAGTTTACTTGAGAAGAAAGTTTTCAGTTGGTGTCTTTTGGTTGAAAAATTTCTTTAATGTGTAGATAATTTAAGAACTGTAATAAAGATGCAAGTATGCATGTAGATTTGTGAAAAAAAGGCTACATACATACGAGTACATACATATATAATACAGGGTTTCGGGGTTTCCCAAGTACAAGGTTATATTTTGGATTTTATCAAACTTAACCATCAGACCAAATATGTTTTGTCTTAAAGAAAAGTCAGGCATTTATGAAAATTTATCCATTTTCATGATAATAAAATGCGTTAAAATTGTTAAAATCTATAAAGAAAAAAAAGGGGAATCAAACATGACCACGTTTCCTGCTTTAAGATGAGATTCCGGTGCACATATCGTCCAACCACTCAAGCAATTGTTACAATATTTTGAGAAATTCGAAGAGACTAAAACAATTACAGATATTTCAAAGCCTTGCATCACCGTGCTGCTTATTTCAGCTGAAACATCGCTACTAAAGCTGAAAGTGTACCCCAAGAGCTAAGACTTTCTTACGACAGATTATGGCGTGTTTCGCTCTCAGACTTACATCTACATCCATAAATGTAAAGTCCTCACTTACCAAATGTAGCCAACTGACCACTCAAAACGCCGTATGTAAGTAGATTGGCTGCTTGAACAACAAACAGTCGCCGAACCATTTATTCTTCAGCGACGAGACAAAATGGTTACTTTTGGGACTCCGAGAATACTCAAATTATTAAAGAGAGAGACCAATACAACCAGAATAACATACTTTCTGATGCGCTCTTTGGTCCGAAGGTGTGATTGAACCTTACCTTGTTGAAACCGACAATGGCGAGACTGTTGCTGTAAATACGACCAACCTTCTTTGGCCTACCATGGAAAAACATGACTTGGTCTATATGTGGTTTCAATAAGATGATTTCACATGCTGCACAACACGAGCGAATATGGTTTTATTGTACGTGTAATCTCTCGCCTTTGTGACGTCAATTGGCACCCGAGGTTCTGTGAATAGACAGCGTTGGACTAATTTAGTTGGCGAAATGTTCAGGTGGAAAAGCTTTGAGCACTAAAAAAAACCAGCATTCGTAAAGTTATGGCTGAGTTACAACCAAATATGTGGTCGAAAACTTGCTCAAGCGGATTGGAACCTGCAAAAATTCGCTAAGTGGTTAGTTGTATTTGTTGTTTCACATATGATGTCAAGGTTCAAAGTTTATAATAAAATGAAATTTCATGAAATAATTACGTTTCTTTTCAAAAACTTTATAATTTTCGTTGATTTGTTAAACCTTTTTAATTAACTAAATACAGTAAGTTTAGGTTATATTGGCTGGGGATACAACTAAATTTGAGCTGTAGTAGCCGTCGGGTAGTAAGTAAATACTTTTTGGGAAGCTTAAGGGAGCATTGATATCCCATTTGGATACTTACACCAGCCCTTTGAACGAAACTCATAAAAGTGCGACCTAAGGCCGGACAGAAGCAGAGAATATGTTCTAATGTCCCACTCCAGCTTTCCTTACTACACTTTCTGCATTTGTCATTGTTGTAACGCATATTCAGGGATTCAGCATGTCAATGAGCCAACTGCCGTCCTACAGTCTTTTCGAGATCGCGTGGTCAGAAATCAAGTGTGTTTTTCTTTGTTGCTATTATACTCGAACTTACAAGCCATTAAGGAATTGTAGCTCACCGTGATCCGTCTTACAGTCCGCTCGATAATTTCGACGGATGGCAAGCAACTACTTCGTTTCCAACGAACTGCATGAAAGCCTAAAACCCACCGTCAATGAGCTGTTTGGAGCAGATCAGTGTGGCTTTACATTCGTAAAATCCACCATGGACCGGATATTTTCCATTCGTCAAATCTTAAAAAAGACCTTTTCGAAAAGAATCGACTCTTCGATCTCTGAAATTACAACTATACGGTTATGTAATCTGACTCTGGGCAAAACCAAAAGCTTCTTCAGGGTCGGGAAGGACCTCTCCGAGGCGTACGATGTTAAAGAGGTCTCAAGCAAAGTGATTTATTATCATTTGAATACTTTAATGCCGCAGGCGATAAAACGTTGGACAGGACGACAGCTAACGCACCTGCGGGTAATATGTAGATCGAAGAGCTCGAGGATTGTTATATTTAAAAATTAATCAGAAAAGTTTTGTATCCAGGGAAAACGGCCAATAACTAGTAACCACACTTTGAAATATTGTCTTCGATTTTCAATAACCAGCGGGGAGTGAAAATATTATGGGGCGCCTAATAAGGGCCTTAAAGCATTACACTAAAAGTTGCCATAGATTTAAATCTCCCAGTCTTCATGTCACTCTACATGCAGTCAAAATGCCAAAGTGTGCCAACAACTTCCCTTTTTGTCAACCCCCCCTCCTCCAATCTCTTCAAGATTGGCTTCACAAATTTTAAATGACATTTATGAATAAATTATGTTAATAAACGTAATTTTACAGTGGAAATTTATGAATATGAATGAATGGCGAAGGCGAAGTGCGCACAAGAAGTAGCAAAATGAATAAATGAATGAATGAACCGTAAGAAATTGCTAGATTGTAGATATCGAAACTGACTTGCCAACGTGACGAAGCACATGGAGTGGGTCACAGCGACCACTGCAGTAGTGCACAACAACAACAAGAGAAAGAAGAAGAAATTTATGTTATGCTTACACTTACATATACAATAAAAATATATGCAAACAAATATGTGTGAGTAGCGCTAAAACAGCGGCATAATGATATACATCATTATGGTCGTCAACACTGTTTTATGTGCGTCTTAAAAAAAAATAACAGCAAAAAAAAATCAAAACAAAAAAAATTACATGGAAAAATTCGCCTCCGTCGGCATAACGAAAGGAAATAAAAATCTAAACCGTCACCAGCTTCTGAACAACCAAAGAGACTCCCTTTCTTCTTTCTAGTCTTGTGTGTAGTGTGTGTGTGTGTGTGTGTGAAGTCACCAACATTTTGTCTACACAGCTTGTAAACCGTAATGTAATTTCTTAAGATGTCCTTTAAATTCAGACTGCGCAACTACGCACAAATTGTGTGTAGTAGAATTCAGTAAAAGAAATCAAAAAAGGAACAAAAAAAGTACAAAAAAAGAACAAAAAAACACGTAAAAGAAAATTTAAAAAAAAATGCGGAAAAAATTCGGTAAAAATCTTAACTGTTGTACAGCCAAGCCCATTAAATAGGCGCAGGATGTCACAATGATTTTTTTATTCTACGCGTTGAAAAGCCAACTACACACTGCCGGAAGCAGGCACAAACACACAAACGCCTTCGTTTGGCATTTGGAGGCAAAGCTGAATCAGAATAAAAAACAATAACTTGTGGGCAATTATACGCACACAGACATAATATTTATTTGTGTTTTTTTTTTTTAATTTTCATTTCTAGTTCAGCACTGCGTGAGCTACTTTTCCTTGAACATCATTAGGGAGCAGAATCTCGTGAAGCTACTATTTTAACTTTTCCTAGAGATCATAGAAATCATAATAATTCTCTTGGTAAGAAAAGAAATATCAAAATTCTTTCTAGAAATTGAGAGAATTATATCGAGTGAAAGAGTTGGGAATTGCAAAAAAAAAAAAATTTAATTTAACAAAATAGAATGAATACTCATAGATTTTGTTTTCATCTTAATATGCATATAAAACTGAATGAAAATATAAATATAATAAAATATAATAAAAATGAATCTTGACGATCTTTTCAGAGCTTGTTCGTTGTGGATCTGGGTAAGTTCAGCGATAAAAAAAAACGTGTACTATTCCTGAGAAAAAGTTGGATAATTCGAAAATTCCAATTTTTTTAATATTTTTTTTTTTTAATATATCATTTTTTTAAAACAATTTTTTTTCTTTCTAACTAGTTTATACGAATAGTTTTCGTTTGTTGGTGAATATGCCTCACCTCATTTCCATTGCAATTTATTTGAATTATTTAAATCGTTCAATTTCGCTCGTTTGCTTGCTTTATTTCGGCTAGTCAAAAGGTAAATTATTGAAAATTATTCAATTATTAAAAATAAAATTAAAAATACATAAACAAGTCGAATTCATAGAAGGTGAAGTTGTCCGATCATATGATTGCTTGTTCTTCCTTCCTCCCATTTCTACAAATTAGAAAATTACGCAAACAAAGTACATTGAACGATTTTCCTTTTACTTTTCGAAACTACACGTATGATTACACAAAGAAAATACATGAAATTTTTGTTTTTGTATTCTTGCTACTACCGTGTGTGAATTTGCCTTAATACATATATAAAAATTGAAAAAGCGTCAAATTCACATAAAAAAAAGTCATAGAGAAATTGAGAAAAAGTCAAAATTTTTCCAAACGCAGACACATTCCGAAATAAACATATTTATTTTGAACATTTAAATTTGAAATAAATCCCCTTCACATGAATACAATCAACCGAACCACAATCGGCATAGCAGCGGGAGTGGCGGGTACACTCTTCATTGCCTACTGCATCTACTTCGACGGCAGACGGCGTGCAGATCCCGACTACAAGAAAAAAGTACACGAACGTCGACGTCGCTTGCGCAAGAACCGCCACACGGCAGGCCATGGCATACCAAATTTGAGCTCCCAACAGGCAATCGAGCGATATTTCCTGCAAGAGTTGAAAATGGGCGAAGAACTCATCGAGCGTCAGGAATATGAAAATGCTGTGGCACATTTTGCCAACGCTGTGCTAGTGTGTGGTGATCCGGGACGGTTATTGGAAATGTTGCAGCATACAATGCCAGCTCAAGTATTTGCCATTTTGATTATTAAAATGCAAGAAATCGGTAATCGTGCTCGTGCCGAAATGAATGAAGCAGCGAAGGCTGCCGGCGTTAAGCGCATGGAAAATGCCGATGAGGATGAAGATGCCACGGATGCAGCGCTGATTGATGATTTGGAATAAAATGTCGAGTGGACTGTATGTGGATAGATATTTAGTGATGTGTATGTTTGTATATTTGTTTTAATTTTATTCCCCATTCAACGGCACGGATAAGTGCAGTTTGTTGAAACATAAATCCCTTAATGTCTGATAAAATCTTGAAGTAAATTCCTTAAAATCAAATATTATATATAAATTTCAAGGGCATTGAATGGTTATTATGAGAAAAAAGAGAGGTGAAGTGATTATTACCATCAACTTATCGAACTGGACGCTTTTTGAATGGAATATAACTTATAAATGGTTCGAAAGTTTCATTTTGGCGGCGAACTCCTCAAATTGAGGAGCTGAAAAAATTACATTTCAGTATTCTGTTTATTAAGACCGTGAGAATTATTCAGATTGCAAAAATAGAGGGTTTCTCTTAATACTAGGAAAATTTGCGAGTGCATTTCTTAGACTTCTGGACTAAGAGAATACCCCTATTATGTTTATCCATCATAGGTAGATAATCAAATCTTCAAATTGCTGTTAAACATAAAAGAAGATGTGTCCTCGACCATGCCGAAATCTTTTTACTTGATGCGGTCATGAATATCAAATTTATGGCATTCTATTTTTGCATTAAATATTAAGTCGCATATCTGAGAAATCGGTTAAGGGCTACTCTTATGATTGCCGGATTTCGATGACTTCCAGTACTAACGTGAAATTCACATAGTTTTTAGTCGTGCGCTTGTATTTTTTTTATTGAAACATAAAGTCTTAGGTTAGGATTATTTAGGGTACAACACATCGCGCAAATGCCCTCCACAACGTTCCACACATACCAATATACGTACTCGTTATTGAAATTTTCTGCATAAGTGTGGCGGCATTTCAATGTTGCAACGTTGAATCTCTTTCTTTAAGTCACACGTGTTGTGCGCTTGTTTCAATATGCCAGTGATTTTATATAGCCCTATAAAAAAGAGATCGAGGGGTTTTCGAAGCACACGATCCAGGTTGCCAATTCTGACCACCAAAACCGAGAGTACTTGACCTGGAAATGTCTGTTGCAGTCATTGAAATGTTACACGGACAGCATGACTTGTTTGAAACCACATATTGGTCATATCGATATACTCCAATTGCGGCAAAAATAACTGGGTTATCATGCCGTGATATCGAACAGCAGTCACTGTTTTCGATCAGCCTCTCATCTTCCAAAATATATCGGTCCAATTATGTCTCCAGCATAAAATTCACACCAAACGGCGATCCGTTATGACCAAACTGCCAGCCGTGGATTTGTTTTTTAGGTTTGTCGAAACAGGACTAGAAAAATGGCAGCAAATTTAAATCTTGCGCTAATTTGGGAAAACCCTCTATCGGTATAGGGTATCAAATTTTATATTCTTGCATGCTTTACTGCTATATCGCCGAAATAGGTGTAAATTATCTCAAAAAGTCGAGCGTAATGTATTTTTTAGTAATGCTTTCTACGTGTTCTGTGATTGAATTCATAATTTTTTTGGCCTCTTGGAAAATTTATTGCCATTCTCGTCTAAGGGCTGTCATGCAAGAACTCATAATGTTTCCAGAGAGAGTGATACCTTCTTTCAAAAACGTTATATTTTGTTATTCCTTACAACACTGCAAAGGCTTATAAGATATAGTATAAACATTCATTTTCCCTTCCTTTATAACATTTGCCCTTCAGCATTTTTCATTTTTAGTGACTTTTCCAAAGGTGCCTATAACCCAGTACAAAATTTTTTTTAGCCAGTAATGGTCCGATCCGATAAATTTTTTAGTGAGCAAACTCAACATACTCGTAGTTCACTGAACGTTAGCTAGACCCTCTGTTGGTATTCGTGGAGCTACAAGTAGACCTTCTATTGGTATTCATTTATCTGTCATTGAAAATGCATACTTCGCCAATTTATAGCGCACAAACTGAACGAAACGATTATATTTGGACTATATTTCGTAGTGTTTCGATCTGACCGGTTGCGGCATATACTCAATACAGTTTGTAAAAAATACACCTCCTTATCAAGTTTGCTTGGAATATCCCAAAAATATACAGACGGATGTGGCTAAATTAATTCAGCTCGTCATTCAGATCCGCCATATCTGGCAACTTTGACATATAACCTAACTAAATTTGGGTCTACCTCTTCTCCTTCTGCTGCATACATACATCGGACTTACATTCAAAGAACAAACTTTCTTGTAATAATTTTTTTGTCATAATTATTTTTTGTTACAATTTTTTTTTTTGTTCTAATTTGTTTATCCTATAGTTCTTTTGCTATAATTTTTTTTTATTTTTTATACTATAAGTTTTTAAAGCTATAATTTTTTTTAGTTTGACAAAATGTAAAAAATTTTGCTTTGGTGTAATTTTTTTTATTTTTTTTTTTGGTATAAATTCTTGATTTTTTTTATTTCATTTTTTTTTTTTTGTTAAAGTATTCTAGTGATTAGCATTGCGTGGTGCCATTGGGAAGCCAGTTCGACCAACGTCCAAAACTTACAGAATTTTTTTTTTTTTTTTCAAATTAAAAATTATGTTAAATTATCTAATTAAGGTTGCTGCACGGCAGGGGGTGTCAACCCCTCCGAGTCTATTTCTGACATGAAATAAAGGCTCCTTATTAAAAAACCAATAGCTGTTCGGAGGTGGCTCAAAAAAACTCGAGGTCCCTCCATTTGTTAAAAAACATTAACACGCAAAACCTCAAATTGGAGCAGGTGCTCGGCCGAAAATCGCTTCAGCGGTTACATAGCGCCAATTATATATATATATGAATGTATATAAGGGAGCCTAACAACTGATATTTAGTCTCACCATTAACATTATTTCCGAAAAAAAAATTTAAAATTAAAAAAAGTCTATGAGTTTAAAAAAATATAAATATATTTCTCTTTTACTCACTTTCTTATTAGAGTCTATATCATCGTCAGCATCATTTTATTGCAGTGCATTTTGCCTCTAATCCATTTTCCATTCCATTCCACTATTGTCCTTTAGTTTATTAAACACACAGCGTTTTTGGTTTTTGTTATATATATTTTTAGTTTTATTTGTTTTCCATCCATTTCTCTAACTTATTCCAAATGACAATTATTTTTTATTATTCTCTATGCTTATTTAACGCTTTAATTCCTTTCTTCTTCCTTTTGATTTTGACTTGGTTGTTGGTTGTTGTTTTGAAAGTAGAAAGCAATTTGTTGGCATACATCATTATTCTTACATTAATTTAATTTGTATGTACATATGTATGTAGTTAGGCATTTATTTATGTATTGATTAAATCATTTTGTCAACTATTGTATTTGCAATGCTATATATGTACATGCATATGTGTACATATGTATATATATTTCTATGTAAATTTGCATTGCGTTAACGAATGGTCCAAATCCAAATCCTGCAGGTGGTGGTTCTGTACGCATGGGTGGGTGTCACATGTGCTGGCCTGTAATCGTCGTCCACTGCTCCCACCACTTCTCCGTCTCCTTTGGAAATATCGCATTCGCTTGCCAATTACCCATATTAATTTCAATTTTTTCATTCAATTTTTACTCTTAATCTTCATTTGCGCAGTATTTGCGTGTGTTTACAACGATTTCATCGATTATTTGACCACGTTTTTATTAAGCTAATAATTTGCATGCTCCTTTTATTGTTATTGTTATTGTATTTATATTTACTAGTACTATTTTTACTTTTGTCGCAAGCGTTTTCTTTTATTTTCATTTACATGCATTTTTGTAAGCATAAGTGTAGGTGTGTACGTTTGTTTGTTATAAACTCAAACTCATTCACATCCACTCAGGCCTCTAATGCACCCACGAGGGTGGCGTTACAACGCTCGCTTGTGAATATTGTACGCGTGCATTTAGATTTGTTTGTGTTTGTGCGGCTGTTGGTAACTCTAAAACATTACTGTTATTATTATTATTATTGTTGTTGTTATTGCTAGCTATACTATTCAGTAGCGTTGGCATCAATTGTGGCTGCTGTTGCTGGGGTATCTGTGTTTGCAATTGATTTAACTGTTGTTGTTGTTGGTGGTGATGGTGGTGGTGGTGGTGTTGGTGTTGTTGCTGCTGTTGCTGTTGCTGTTGCTGCTGCTGTTGCTGTTGATTAACTCCGCCGAGAGCACTATTAACCAAATTCGCCGTTGGTTCAGCTGTGAGTGGGATATTTATATCCAGCATGCCATCAATGCTCATCTCCTGTCGGATCAGCTATGTGTTTCAGAGAGAGAGAGAGAGAGAGATAAAGAGAGTGTAAACAATTTATTAGCATGCAGTTGTGAATTTGTGATATAATTTTAGATAGTTTGAATCAATTTTGTAACTCACCTCTTCCAGGTTGCACTCCAGTCCTGGTTGAAAGCTGTCTAATGTAAAATCATCAATTTGTGGTTCACTATTGAGTGCCTCCATGCATTGGCCGATAAGTGTGGATGCGCAATTATTGTCTGAAATTGTGAAATATAAAAATTTAGAAAGTAAATATTTTGTTTTTTTTTTTTCTTTTTATTTAAATCTATTAAATCATATAGCCTAGCCAACAATGCAGTTACCTTCTCCCGTAAGCCATTCCGTGCCTGCTTTATTTTATGATTTTTACGAACGTTCTACCGAAATTACCATGAAGTAAAAATAATTACTTGTACGACCAACATCCAAAAGTTATAGAAAATTAATTTAAATACAAAATAAAATTAAGTTTTCTTATGCGGTCGCCCCTCGGCAGTCAATGTCAATCCTTCCGAGTGTATTGCGGACATGGAATAAAGCTCCTCATAAAAAAAATCGGAGGTGGCTAAGAATAAACTCTAGATCCGCCTCTATGCACGCCAAATTTTTTTTCTGATTTTAAAATTGGAATTTTTTGAATCGAATCAAATTTTCTTGATTTTTAAATTTGCAATTTTTCACCATTTATTTGACCAAAGCGTTGAAAATCTATTGCTTTCCAGTTAAAGAGGATTCATTTTACTCAGATATCGGTATTTATACCAGAGATGGAAAATTTTTTAAGGATCTGGAATACCCGCAAAAGTGTCATTAGATTCATATTAATATATCGAGCACTAATATGGTGGGCGGCACTAAAAAAGTGAGGTGTTAAATTCTCGGAACAAAATAATAAATATTATATTCGACCTCGGGATGAATGAAAAATACAACCGAGGAACGGAAACCTTCTTTCCTAGGAGGGAATAATAGGCGGGAAACTCGGGCTCATCGGAAACCGTCAAAATATCCACTTCTACACTAATGTGTCTAAATGCAAGGCACAGGAGCAGGGCATCACACAAAGTGCCGAATGTACAACGGCTTTAACAGTAAAATCTATCAGTTTTAGTAGATAGTCAAGCAGCAATTAAGACAACAAGTTAATATCACTTAGATTCCAGATCAAACAGCAATAAAAAGTGAACGAGCTGACCTGAGATGACCTTCAACTGCTTCAGACCTATCAGCGCGTCCAAAGCAGTGGACTCTGGGGGAACACTTCCATTGTAGGATATACCACCAAATTATGTTAAGACAATGTGGATTGCAGACTGACCAAACCGTCACTAACCTTAAATAAACAAGCACTTCGTGTTTTTGCTGGTGTATTGAGAGAGCATCTACCACTGACATATCATCTCTACTAGCTAGAAAAAGTGACATCATGTAGCTGCAGATCATGCACAGATGATGAGGAAACGCTGGAGTGCTACCCCTGTAGTCAAGCAGCTTGGTTTAAACAAAGTTTCTGCTGGTTGCAAAGCGATCTCTACTGTAGATAGTTAAATAGTTTTACCAGCCATATGAAAATACTTGTGACGTGACTAAGAAGATTCCCTCAAGGCATACAATTAATGTATGGGTAGGACAGCAACTGGCAGTAAATCTGACAAGCAAAGCTCATAAGGCTATAGAAAATTGAAATTGAATGAGAATTTTTCCTAGAAGCTAGTGTTATTATCTGGTCCTGAGAAAAAATTTTTTCTATTCAAAAAATTGATTCCTTCAAATGCGAACTCCAAGGTTTTTGTAAATCATCGAGGCGTATTTAAGAAAAATTTTTACAATATAATAAGCTTAAGCTCGCAGTACCGAAGCACCAATATTTGCTGAGCCTAACACTGACTCTTATAGCCCAATAGACTGTCAGGAAAGAACTGTAACTATGCAGAATGAATATATTTTTTCTTTGGCCTCTTTCTCAATAAAACTAACAAAAGGAATGTCAGAATGGGCGTTTTTAACTTTTTTTCTATTAATTACTGGAAGTTGTTCGAATTCCTTCGCATCATACCTTCTTAATACTCACTCCATAATGACAACATACCGACTATCATTATACAAGCTTTATTTGTTAGCTGGGCTGCTATGGCGAAGAATTTACATTAGGAAAGCTTGAGACTAATTGAAAATTATATAGTTTCAACTAGCCATATAACTCGCAATATCGCGCTTTTTAATTTCTATTTGTATTTCCAAAAAATGTTTACTCTTTATATATTCTTTCCACCTTTAACCATATTTTTTTTATCTTTTATCAAAGCTTTCGAATGATAGCATAGACAATTAACACTTTACCTTCTAAATTTGTGTTAAGTGACTGCTGTTGTTGTTGCTGCTGTTGTTGCTGCTGCTGTTGTTGTTGTCGCTGTTGTTGTTGTTGTTGCTGTTGCTGTTGCACCAATAAACTGGTGCCATTATCACTCGCTACACCTCCGCCATTGCCAGCATCTAGCACCACATTACTGTAAGTGTTTAGTGAATCGGACGATGGCTCACTATTCGGATACGCGGGTGACATTGTTGTTGTGACGGAATTGGGCGACAGACCCTGCAAATGAAGACGAGGAAGCCAAGTTGAAATTTTTCAAAATAAAAATATTACTAAAAGTTAAATCTATAGCGGCAGTCTTAAGGTATTTAACATATTTTAGAGAACTGCTGCGCCTAAAACTATGCTCAGTAAAATAAAAGAAAAATTAAAATAAAAATAGACTATATTGTAAAAAAATAAATAAATAAATAAATAAAATTCAGGGGTAGGTTGAACTCAAATTGAGCATAATTTTGAAAGCGCTACAAGTAATTAAAAAAAAATTTAATAAATGTTTTATACATATATACACATATACTTACATCGCGTGAATTGTGCAAACAGCTGCACGTCAGCGAACGATGCAACAGACATTGTTGTGCCTGCAAGCCGTAACCCTGTGAGACGACGGGCCCATTTAGACTATATGTCGGTGGCGCCTGATATGGCGGTGGCGGTTGGGTGGGTATGCCAGAGGCGGCGCTAAATCTACTCCAACCGTATGACCGTTTAGTTGCGAAAAAAAGAAAAGAAATTTCACTTTATTTATCTGAAGGCAAAATAATTACTATAAGATATAACATACATACATACATACATATAAACACATGAAAAAATAGTAATATTATACAAGGCAAACATGCTTGCAAGCAACTATTATAAACACACCAAATAAATATATTTATATACATAATTTAATTTACATTTAAAAAGTGCAAAATAATTTTTCTCTTTTTTTTAATATTTTTTCAATAAAAAATAAAATAAAAAAAATCATTTAAAATAAAGAAAAAGTCATTTAAATTAAATTTAAAAATTAAAAATAGTATACATAAATTTTACACAATTAATTTGATGAAATAAACAAAAATTGGCCACTGACCCTTGTAGAATATCCTTGGGCAGCTTAACTTCCGCTATTGAACCAGCTAATTGCTCCATGGAGGCTGCTTGTGCTGGCGTTATTGTTGTATTTGTATAGTCAGCACCAAAACTCCAATCTGGCTCAAGTCCTATAAGTGCTGGTATCGGACTCAAACGTCCGCAGGAACTGGCATTCGATGAGGCGCGTTGTCGGAAATCCGGCGACAATTGGAAATTACCACTTTAAATGGTACATTGATGGCGACGCAAACAAATAATAATTATCGAATCATATTTGAAATAATAATATATGAAATATAAATATATATGAAAATATATAAAAAATTATTAAAAATTAAAGTAAAGGTAAGAAAATTAAAGGAACTGTAAATTGAGTTCAAATTAAATAAGGAAATTTAGTTTTGTCTACTTTGAGTAGCTGCAGAGATTGTTAGACCTTCAAGTACTCGATTCTAAATCCATTTTATGTTATAAATTACAAAAATTAGAACAACTTAAATTAAACGATAATTATTTAGAGATTAATTTGAGGATTCAAGCCAGATTAATAATTAATATCCGGATTGTTTATTATGACTGTTATTAGAGACGAGCGCTTTCCTAGGTGTCACTACCTTATTTTGATTTAAACCACTTCAACTCAAAAAGCATCTTGCAACAGATTTTTTAACCATAAAGCGTCACTCTACAGTATTTCAAATTTTCCCGGGCAAATATGTGATCGGAATGACACGAACTCAATTATTCAATGGATTTGAAGTTGGGTCGCAAAGCGAGTTTTTTAGAAACATTATGACCGATTCGTATCGGAAGAAATATGGACCAGCGACAATACTTTTGTTTTAAGGGCACTCATTCAAACAAAACTGAGTTTCAGATGAAGAACAGTTTTTTTTTTGAAAATCGGATTCAGCGGCCACTTTGTTGCAACATTTGACGCTCTTGGTGGTCGTTTGGCTTTAATTCTTAGACGAGTTGGATTTTCTATTACTGCAAAGCACAAAATCTTCTATAAAGTGAATGGGCACATCTCCGGTTGCTACAAGCGATGACCGAAAAATTCATTCCGATGAATAGAAATAAAGTAACAGCTGCCTACAAGACCAACTCCGAAAAAAGTATTGTCCCATTGAAAATCACAGGCGGGAACTTTTGGACTTTAGGGAGCCTCTAACGACAGGCATGCTTTACCGTGGGGAAATTCTTGAAGTCGTAAGCCGCCTTTACTTCAAATAACACAAAATCTGAGGCACGACAGCTCATCTTTCCAATTCTCTATATCAGGTTCCATTTGTATATATTATATATAAATATTTATATATCAGATAGAGTAAAAATAAATCCATTATTTTTGCGAAAAATTTTATTTTTTAATTATTTCTTTTCGTATCCTGCCTTATTCAAATGGTTCAAACGGTTTCTTGCGCAGTTTTTAGCTCTTAGGCAATGAAGACTGTGCTTGCATGACGGTCGGACATGATAATGTTCATAATTTTATAGACATTTTTGACAATTGGAAGCAACTTTTACGTCAAAATTACCGGAATGAAGCCAAAAAATTGAAAAATTTTGCATGATTGACTGTAGCAGTATCAGGATCATAAACGCTATTCACACTTTCAGCCGTCTGACTTGAGTTTTCGCCCTTATCGAAGAAAATCTGTTAAATTTAGCGTATTTTCTCTTTGCTAGTGTCTATCGCTCAAGCAAAAACGAATTCAACCAATCACAAAACTGTCAGAAGAGGTTTTCCAGTAAGAAAAGGCATCTTTCTAACGCCATCTGGCGGAACCCGATAGGACTTATGCAACGCGAGATGCAGATAAATAAGGTCAACTATTGGGCTGAATTCTTTTTACTACGCCTAATATGTATGATAAATATATTAAAATACGCTAGCTAGATTTGAGTGGATAAAGCCATTCCAGAATTGAAAGAATGCGATGAAATACCCAAAAGGAAGCAGAGGAAGGCAAGGTGTAGAAGAAGTCTTCCATTCCGTTGGATCTATCTAAGTATTCACACAACAATATGGTTCTACAGTACTTAACTATGTTTTATAAATTTATGAATGCTTAAGCTGTTTGTGAATTGCTGGCATTATTTTTCATATGAACGCCCAAAATTATGCAGTGATTTTTAGTGCTAATTTAACTGGACTTTTTTTCGTTTTTTAATTTTTTTTTTTTTAATTTTTTTTGCGAATTACTAAACGGCACTTAATTATTTCTACGAATGGAAAAGTATTCACTTTTATCAAAGGACAAGACGACATAAATAGTTTGAAAGCTACGCCATATTAATTTTGAAAATTACTACATGCATTTCTACATTTTAAAAGTTTCAGTTTTAATATTTTTAAACTAAATTAAGTTGTTTTATCTAATAAAAAAAATTATTTCAGTCTCTCTTAATTAATGCTAGTTTTTTACTTTCAGAAATGTTTGTGGTTTCAAGACAAAAAGAATGAATTAAAACTAAAAGTAAGTAAAGAATTTTAAACGAAAATCTTAAACCATATTAAATTCGACTAAACTTTAGTAAGGCTTTAGTTCTAGCGTGATATTGTATTGAAACATGCTAACTGTGTTTGTCAAATATGCGATTAACAGTTTGTAAAAGATTAAATATATTTCAAAAAGTGTCTAAAGTAAAAAGAAACTGCGTACAAATAAACTTTTACCGTTGTAGTACGCAATGTAAAAAGCTTAGAAAAAAAACTATATTAAAGCTAGTTAATATGCATAATTTTCTAAATATTCTAAAAGCCAAAACTTGCTAAGCTAGAGACAAAACAAATTCTAGTTGTAAATTCAATCGCTATGATTACAGACTGCAATTGCTTTAGCCATAAACGCGTTCAAGTTAATAGTTACCTGTGCAAAGGACTCTCCGAGAAGTGATCCAAACCTTCACTAACACTACTACTAGGCGATGGCGTTGCATCATTCAGACCCGTTATGCCGGCTTGACGCAAAGCCTCGACACGCTTTTTGGCACGCCCCCGACGCTTTTCATAGCGCGACGTTTCCATAGAGGCGGCACGTCGGCGTACCGATTTACCTGGCTTGGCATCGGGATTCAGCATCCACCAGGATGATTTGCCCGTGCCCTCGTTTTGGACGCGCATAAAACGATTGTGCAGTGAGAGATTATGGCGAATGGAATTCTGTAAATAGAGAAAATAGAAATTAAAATATTGAAAATCGCGTTGAAAAAGGTAATAAATTAGCGACAGTTTTGTCTATTAGGGTTTAGTATAATAAATATATTTTGTAATTTTCAACCAACTCCTTTAACAGCTTTACAACTTCCTGTTAATCCATTGTCTCTGTTTTTTTTTTTTTTTGCTTGAAAGACATTTAAGGATATCTACGAATTTTCACTCGATTACTACGCTAAAAATCAAAAGCGTATATATTCGTAACGTCATAGCTGACTTTGCAAACCCTACCTCTTGGCGAGACATTGTGTCCCACTCTCTTGGTGGTAATTGTGGTGGTGGGATTGCTCTCATTTTCATATATCATTGCTGATGTAACAATTTGTAAGCAATTGAAACGGCTGCGCTGCGACAACATTCAATTCATTGTCTACTATTCAGCGATTTCTATTCAACTACCCTCCGGCGCTCCAATTCATTTGCCCCAGAATGCTCTTCAACCATTTATGCCCTCCAACCTCCCTCACTCTCTCTCTCTCTCTCTATGCATGCGGCAGTTAGTGAAGACATTTGGTTTGTCTGCCGACATTTTTATCGCTTTTCTTATATTTTTTATTTTATTTTATTTTTTTGCTTGAAAACTCGAAGAAATGCCACGCTTCTGCTGCGCTAATTGGACTGTCGTCGGGGAGCAGTGGCAGTCGCAATGCCATTCTTACATAGCGTAACTGCGTCTATTCAACTACTTTTTGCTGATATTGTTTTTCTTATTGTTGTTGTTGTATTTGTTCACATTTGAACTGTCAATTCATATTTTACGACATAAACTATAAATACTGTGTATGTGGCAAGTGCCTGTCAGCGGACGCTAGAAGTTGGGTGGATGCTTGAAGAAGCAGTGCGGTAGAGAGTTTTGTAAAATGAGAGAGATATAAAATATGTCATTCGAACTCGCATACGGATTCGCGTATGCTTTTCAAGGTGTTTGATACAACAGTTTTACGTATAAAGAATATTGTGAAAAATTCTTAAGAGAAAAGCGATGAATGGGAAAAATGTATACCTTTCATGAATAAAAGCTTACTAAGCAAAAATCTTAAATTTAATTTTAACATGCACATTTTTACTGCTGAAGTGTTAAAAAACTTGAATACGTCATATGCGTTGTTTATACAAATTAGACATTTTTGCTAAAAATCGTATTTTCGAACAATCAGTTGCATGGCAGCTATAACTTGTAATCAACTGATTTTGATGATTTTCATTGTGAGTCTTGCATATACAGCGAGGGAACAACAGACGAAATTTCATGTTTTTATTTTCCTTTTTGACTGAATTACAGCTCAAAATCGCATTTTTGAACAAAAAGTTGTATGGCAGCAAAAGCTCATAGGTAGCGAAGATTCAAAATTTTCCTTGTCAGTTATTTATAATTGAAAATGAAATTAAATACAAACTTTCATATATATATTTACATAAATAGAGCAGTTATAAGCTAAAAACCCATTTTTGAACCAACTATTGTATGGCAACTATATGTTTTATTGAACCATTTTTAATGACTTTCTCTGTCAACATTTCACTAACCAAAAGTAAGCGGAAAATCGAATTTCACGTTCTATGCGCTTCATTTAAAGAAGTTATAAGCCAAAAACGAATTTTTGAACAATTAGTTCTACGGAAAGTGAGTCTTACAATAATTCAAGCTGATTGATGATTTACTATGTTATATGTATGAATGGCATGCATTACAATATCATTACACCTGCAGTGGAAAACCATTTCGGATAATAAACAATAAAAACCCACATGTAAGTAGTATATGTGTGTATGTATGTGTGTATGTATGTATGTATGTACGAGTATGTAAGTACGCAAGACATGTGCGTTTGTATTTCCGCCGACAAGGCAACTAAGCAAATCGTGCAAAAAAGACACCCACACACACATACGAGTGAGTAGCGTATAAGTAAAAGGTAGAAAAGTAACGGGTATATCAAAAAAAAAAAAGTTAACGGTAAACTAGAATAAAATTTCTAAAATGACAGTAAAACAAACCAAACTCGCAAAATCGTTGATGACGCGCCAGCATACATGGCACTGAGCGACGGTCTGGCGCCTGTTAACACCGTATTTGAAGGGGATGAGCCGCCGTCTGTCTAGCAACAGCCTTCATTACTACATTAGATTTTACACCGCTGGCGTTATTCCTCTCTGTGCGTCTCTTCGCTCTAAGTGAGACAGACTACGTGGGTGTGCAGTCAGCATCATTTCACCAACAATTCCAATACACAGACTTTTACGTGTGTGTGTGTGTGTGTGTGTGTAAGTGAACGCTTTAACATAAAAAAAGTAAGCATAACTTAATTTTACTTTTTTTGCAAAACTTTTTCTTGGCGTCACTGCCAATAGTTGCGTCGTCGGCTGCCTTTTTGCACGTTTATACACCCTTTCATATGCCTTTTGTATCCTTTCTTGTTTGCCTCCACCTGCCGACTAAACGCTTTTTCGTTGTCACGGTTGTCGTCCTCAATTTTTAGTTTGTTGTACAGGTCGTTATGGGGTTGAGCTAATGGTTTAGCCTTTCGGTTTTAGATTCCAGTTTAGTTTCGGTTTACCAAATTTTTTATGCGCAAATTTTTTTTTCTATTTTTTCATCTTTTTTTGTGGTTACATATATCCTTTTCACTTAATGTAATCATATTTATTTAAACGCTTAAGTGCCAATGATTGTGTGTATTTAAGTGTAAGTTGGTGTGTTTGGGGCGTAAATTTATACCAGTTACTTTTAGTGATTTTGGTTTTGAATTATAAAAAGTGGGTAATGTGTAGAATATGTTTTCTTTTAAACTTTTAAGTGATGCGAAGCGATTTATTGGAGCGAAGGAATTTTTCTTCTTCGTAACGTAAATATGTAAAAAGTTACATTCATGACCCTTTAAAGCAAAAGATTAGGAGCTCTAGTATTCACCTAAGGTAAGCCATTCCTGTTGTAAGAGCCGACTAAAACCAATTAGTACTCGTGGGTTTTTATACCGCAAGGACCCGGATTTTTATCCGGCCAAGGACTGTAACTCCTGGGAATTATTTTCGTTCACAACAACCACATCAATTCTTTCAATATTAATTTTAGAAATATTCAAATTTTTTGTAAATTATTTCAAACAAATTTTTAATACTAGGTTATCGATATTTAAATGGCGACATTAATTTTAAATTGTAAATTGTAGAAATACAAAAAACTATCAGATTTACATATGTATATAGTGAAACATATATAATAAAAATGTGGCCTACATTTTGGCGCAATGAAGCTAAATTGTAAAATAGTAAAGGATCTTAGGACAATTTTTGAGTTAGAATTTTTGGAAAGATGAAACTTACAACTTCCTCTCTTTATTGCAGCATAAGCTTTGTAAATGTAAATGTAATGCTACCAAAAAGTTATTTGGTTAATCCTTAAAGATTTCAAAAAAGTGCAAATCGTTAAAACTAAAATATGCCGCTAAAATTTCTTCAATTCAATAAAAAGAAATTTCTGTTAAAAAATTTTTTAATTCTTTATTTCAGACGGTGATATGGTTTATCTCTTATGCTACACTGGAAAAAACTTAAACCTTTTTAGCAAATAAATAAATTTCAATTTCAACACTCAGGGAGGCAAAATTAGTGTAAAACTTGTGCTTTGCAATTTTATTAAAGATTTTTGTATAATAATAGTTGGCTTCGAAAAAAAAACATTCCAATTTCTTGCTATGAAATAATTAATTTCAATTTTAAATTCTATTTAAGTTTATAAATTTGCTACATTCCTGAAAAATGATGACATCAAAATTTTTCTAAATAACCCACATACGCAAATTGTTGTAAACGATATTGACGATAGAAATGAGCGCTTGTGAATTATTTGATGAATGCAAACAATAAAATTTCTGCCATAACTATAATTTTTTACAATAATTTGCAAATTACGCCAGGTTAAGATCGATGTCATGCTAAAATTAGTATATTTTCTTATGAATTTATTTTCACATTTTTGCTTTCCTAACGCCGAAATTCGCGCTATTTTAAAGTTTTCGTTCGTTAAAGGCAAATCCGCTAGAGAAACGTTCCGTGAGATTAATGGTGTTTTGGGGGATGGTACTCTATCACAACCGCGGAGGAATGGTTTCGACGATTCAGAGCCGGTGAAAACGACACCATGGATAAGCCAGCCGGCGGAAGACCTGTGACGACAAATACCGATCAAATAATGGAATACATCGAGTAAGACCGGCATATGGCATCTCGTGACATCGCCCAGGAGGTGGGAGTTAGTCACCAAACCATTTTGAACCATCTGCAGAAGGCTGGATACAAAAAAAAAGTTTGATGTTTGGGTGCCGCATAATTTGACGCAAAAAAACCTTCTGGACCGAATCAACGCCTGCGATAAGCTGCTGAAACGGAACGAACTCGACCCATTCTTGAAGCGGATGGTGACTGGCGACGAAAAATGGATTACATACGACAATATCAAGCGAAACCGGTCGTGGTCGAAGGCCGGTGAATCGTCCCAAACAGTGACCAACAGTGCTGTGTGTTTCGTGGGATTGGGAGGGAATCATCCACTATGAGCTACTCCCATATGGCCAAACGTTTAATTCTACCATCTACTGCGAACAACTGGACCGCTTGAAGCAGGCGATCAACCAGAAGCGTCCAGAACTGGGCAACAGGAAGGGTGTAGTGTTCCTCCAGGACAACGCCAGACCACACACTTCGTTGATGACTCGTCAGAAGTTACGGGAGCTCGGATGGGAGGTTTTATCGCATCCACCATATAGCCCGGACGTAGCGCCAAGTGATTACCACCTATTCCTGTCCATGGCGAATGCCCTTGGTGGTGTGAAGTTGAACTCAAAAGAGGCTTGTGAAAAGTGGCTGTCCGAATTCTTCGCAAATAAGGAGGGGGGCTTCTACGAGGAAGATATTATGAAGTTGCCGTCTAGATGGAAACAGATCAT